AAAGGGGCAAAGCTCTTTTGATAGAGAAAGACTGACCTGGTCTTCTTTTGCAGGAGCAATTCTTTCTTGGCCACAATTTTACCAATTGTTCAAAACTGCTCCTCCCTCACGCACACTGCTGTCTTCCCTGCCCTGTGCAAGCTCCTCTTACTGTGGCCGTTGTTAATTTTTGATAATACCGAGGTGTAAGGGACTTGGTGGCAATTTCCCGTTCCATTTCCATTGCAAGGTGACTCTGAACTGGCCTCCATTCCCGTTGTTCCTTGTGTCTTTAGTTTATCACCAGTGGCCATTGTCAGAACCAAAAGAAACATATGACTACTCTGGTGCCTATTAGCATTCCAGAGCTCCTGCTGGCCTCTGAGCTCACTCAGTACCTGTGGCTTCTCAGCTCTTCTCGCCCCACCCATTTACCCTAACCCTCACCAGCTCCTGGGCTTCCCTCCCCCAGATTCTCATACCTGTATAACCCTGCCATTTAGGCCACGCGCTCTCTACGCCCTCTTGGCCCCCTCTCTCTTGGCCTCCTTTGCCCACACACTCTTTTCCTCCCCTCTCTGTCTACCCTCCTCTCTCTCCTCTCATGGCCCAGTTTGGCCTACTGGCCATGTTTAGTCCACTACTTCCTCTCCTTGCTCTGGACTCTTCCAGATGCCTCTGATATCTCCAATAAAAACCTTCCCCTCAACCATACCTTGGAGCAGCCATGCCCTCACTTTGTATATAGTTACAACTGTCTGAGAATCGCCCCCCCCCCAAACATCATCTACCCACCTCCTCTTAAAGTTGACCGTGAAGTGCTTGGGAGCAGTCTACTCCTGTTGGAGAAGATTTTCTGGGATGGATTCAGGGTTTATGAAAGGCATGTGTATCCATTACTGACACATTGCTCAGAGGTTTTATGAAGTCTCATCCCCAAAATAACCATCAGCAGGTTAAAGAGAAAGCCCTGGTGCTGGGAATGTCTCAGTAGGTAGAACACTTGCAGCGTAAGCATGAGGTCCTGAGTTCAGATCCCCAGCACCTATGTCGAAAGCCACCTCTTGTGGCATGTGCCTGGGACAGCAGAGACAGGAGGGCTCACTGGCCAGCCAGTCTAACTGAAGGGATGAGCTCCAGGTTCAGTGAAAACCCTGTCTCAAGGCAGAAGGTGACAGAGGAAAGCAGCTGAGATTCACCTCTGACCTCCACATGCGTACACACCTGTGAAGGAACACCCACATACAAGTGTGTACACACACACACACACTAAATGTAAGAAAAATGTCACTTGTGAGCTCCTAGGGTCTTATTGTGTGTATATGAGGCAGGCCTGGGGCAAATGCTGCCTCTGTGCATATTCTTCTGCTGTTGGGAGCTGTTGTGTATCCACACAATGACCCAGAGCACTGGCCACCCTTGCTAGTTTTCAAGTTCATGTTTGTTGTGTCAGACCAACTTCTATTATCGGAGACGTCTTTGCAGTGGAATTCAGACACTAATTAATTGAAATTAGCACAGACCTCACAAGTCATGGACATAGACTTCAGGACAGCTCCATGCCTTGGGCAGAAGCTGGGCTCTAGGGGACTTCCATTCCACCTACCAAACTGACTGGCTAGGGCTTCCCCTGCACCCTCAGCTGCAAAGTCTCTACACAGAGCTGTGGTTTTGATTACAGTTTTTTACAAAGGAGAAAACAACTATGACCAGACCAGTGAGGAACTGGAGAGTTGGGAAGTATCTAAATCTGCGTGTATGGGATGGCTGTAGTGTAAGGCTATGCATATGCTCTGGGTGCAGGCAGACATGCTTGCATGTGACATGTGGGGCATGACCTGGTCAGTTCCACATCCCCCTTCTCACTTTCACATCTTACCTCATGACACCTGCCAGGGAAGCTCCACGGACCCATACCCAACAGAAGTTTCCTGATTGACTGAATGGTTGGCACATTATTAAATGTCTCCAGCCTCCTTCCATCCCACAGAAGCCAGAGATTGAGCTGACATGCCAACCTCCAATCCCATGGCTCGTCTCTTGTCCTGGACCCACATAGGGCCCAGCTGAGTGACCTCATAACCAGTCACTCACCTATGGTATCAGAGGCCCACAGGAGTGACTAAGACAGCCCCATCCCTCTGAATATCCCAAGGGTTTAGAAGCTCCATCCCAGACCAGAAAAACTATTAACAGTTTTATCTCGATATTTTTACTCAAGTTTATTCTTGGTTCATGTAAAAACCAATCGTATCAACTTTACATACTGGAGAGTCACCTAGGAGATACACCTCTGGGCATCTCTGTGAGTGAGTTTCTAGATTAGGTTAACAGAGATGCAAAGACTCACCCTGGGTGTGGGCAGCATCATCCCATGGACCAGAGCCCTGGACTGAATAGAAGGATAAATCGAGCAAAGCAGAGCATTCATCTCTTTCTGCTTCCGGACTGTGGATGCCATGTGAGCAGCACATTCCTGCCACCATGCCTTCCCTGCTGTGATGGACAGAAGCCTTAGCTGTGAGCCAAGGTCACCCTTCCCCACTCAAGTGGTCTTTGTCAGACACCTTGTCACAGTAGTGGAGAAAAGGAACAAATAGTTTGTTTCTATTTAGAGAAAAGGAACAAGTAGTTTGTTTCTATTTAGAGAAAAGTAACAAATAGTTTGTTTCTATTTAGGGCCATTCAACAACTTTGGTCTTGTTTCAGACCAAACCAATAATACCTTGGGGGAAACAAAAAGAAATGGAAGAATGGATATTTCCATCCTGGCCTTGTTTGTTTGAAGAGTGTCTATTGGTGTCTAATGGAGTTTGGTTATCAGATAACTCAAATGGAAACAGTAGCTTCTTCTCTGAGTTTAAACTTGATCCACAGTTTAGGGGAACACAAGATAACAGATGGTGCTCAAGAGTCTGCTTTTTAGTGCTAATCTGTAACATGATTCATAAGTTTGCCTGTAAGTGGCTGCATGGGTGAGGGAGCTGCACCCTTATGCAGCTGAGTGCAAACAGCTTCATCAGTTTTTGAGCTAGAATAGTTGCGTTTCTTCCTGGGCCTCATGCATGCCAGGAAAGTGTTCTCACATGAGTTCTAACCCTCAGCCCACACGTACATTTTGAAATGAAAAGAGTTAGGTAGAGGGCTGGGAAGAGGACTCCGTTAGTAAAGTGTTTGCTGTGCAAGCATGAGGACCTGAGTTTGGATCCCCGGTGACCACGTAAATGGCTGAGTGTGTTCAGATTGGAGTGGGGGACTGAGAGGAGGAGAGGGAGGGGAAACTGTAACCAGGAGATATTGTATGAGAAAAGAATCTATTTGAGTATGGCAGTGTACACCTGTAACCCCAACACTGGGGAAATGGGGACATTTGGGGGCTTGCTGGCCAGCCACTCCTGCCAAATCTGTGAACTCTGGATTCAGGAGAGACCCTGACTCAAAAAAGAAACGTGAAGAGTGATCAAGGAAGACACCAGACATCCACCCGTGACTCCACATACAAGTGCACACACATGCACATGAACACACATACAAACACACATATACATGAAAACACATGTACATGAGCACACATGCAATGAAGTATAGGGTGGGGCATGGTAGTGCATGCCTGAGATCCCATCACTTTTGGATCAGATGTTAGAGAATCGTAGCAAGTTTAAGGTCAGTGTAGCAAACATAGTAAGTTCCAGACTAGCCAGGGCTATCAAGACTCAGCCAATGAATGAATGAAATAATTAATAACCTAAGACTGAACCTAACTTACACAGCCTGGAGAGTTCAGATAGACATTGTTCTGTCACCAGTAAAGACTTCCTTAAATTAGTGACTCCTTTTTGAAACTTGGACGTGAGAACTGCACCTCCATTTTATGGCCTTGCCCATGTGTTTTTTACCATCTCCACTGGCTTCTAGTTGACTTTATCACCACATTTACTCTTACATGCTTGGCCCAAACTCTCTAGTACCCTCCAGAAGACAGAACGACAGTATAACCTCATGCTGTCAATAATTGAGGCAGTCCATTTGTCCTTGAAGGCATACAGGCATCTCCCCCAAACTCCAAACAGGTGAGTGCGGCAACCCACACACTGGCAGATCCTCGGTGCCATACTTTCCTCTTCATAGTCCTCGCCAGGTTTACATGACCAGCTTCTAGATGCATAGACAAATCATTGACCACAGTATGTCTCATAAGTGTTATAATGCAGGGGCCGAGGGTATGGCTCAGCAGATAAAGGGCTTGCTGCACAAGGGCGTGAGTTCAAGAGCTTAGTCTCCAGTACCTATGTGAAAAACTAGGTGCAATGCTGCACACCTAGAATTCCAGCCCTGGGGAGGAAGAAACAGGAGGATCCCTAGAGTTCACTGGCCAGTGAGAGGTCCCGCCTCAAAATATAAAGTGTAGAGCAATTAAAGGAGACATCTATTCTGGTTTCCTTTCCATGGCTGTGATAATACCTCGACAGAAAGCAGCTTGGGGTGGAAGGATTTATTTTAGCTCACAATTCTAGATTGTGGTCCATTACCATGGAGATGCTGAGGGGGCAGGAAGTTGAAGCAGCTCATTGTATCACATCCACAGTCAGCAGAGACAAAAGAATGCTGTGCTTAGTCAGCTACCTTTCTCTACTCATACACAGTCCAGGACCCAAACTCAGGGAATGGTGCTGCCCACAGTGGGCTGGATCTGCTCACACCAACTGAGACAATCAAGACAGTCCCCTATAGACACACCCATGGGCCAACATGGTCTAGACAGTCCCTCATGGAGACTTTCTTCTCCCGTGATCAGAGGTTATATCAAGTTGACAATTAAAACTATCATAATACATCAAATTATGTTCAAGTTACACCACAAGGGGTGGAGCTGGTCTTCGTTTGCTCCTTTGGGGACCACAGAGAGAACAGCTCATTCTCATTCCAGAACAGCACATATCAGCTCCCTCCAACGTGGGCATCAGATGACCTATCAGTCTGACTTCACTTTCCTCTTGTTCTTTTTCCTTCCTTTCCTCCAGTGAGCTGCCTCACCCACCTCAAAACCTCATGGCCAGCTTGAGTCCTGAGCGCAGCCACTCAGTGACGCTGTCGTGGGTCCGGCCCTTTGATGGAAACAGCCCAGTCCTTTACTACATTGTGCAACTGTCTGAAAACAGTAAGTAGCAAAACAAACTGTTGGTCCAAAACAGAAACTAGATGTGTGTGTGTGTGTGTGTGTGTGTGTGTGTGTGTGTGTGTGTGTGAGAGAGAGAGAGAGAGAGAGAGAGAGAGAGAGAGAGAGAGAGAGTTATGAGGTATGAGGGTGAGCCTGTGTAAGCTCGGAGGCCAGAGGAGGATGTCGGGTATCCTGCTCTGTCACTCTCCAACTTATTCCCTTGAGGCAGGGTCTCTCCCTGCACCTGGAGCTAGCCTGGAGGCCAGCAAGCCCCAGTGATCCCCAGTCCCTGCCTGCCACAGCACTAGGGTTTTAACTGGACTTTTTACATGAGTGCTGGGGATCTGAACTCAGGTCCTCAGGCTTGCACAGCAAGTGTTCTTACTAACAGAGCCACCCCACCCCCACCCCAGACCCAAACATCAGATTTCTTCATGCTTTCGTAATGACATGTCCTTCCCACTGACCCACGGCAAACAGAGACAGGTGACCCTACTTCACAGATAGCAGAGCAAAAGCAAGCTGGAATGTGAAGAATAGGGAAGGGTAACAGCTGGGAAGAGGAGGCATCCTAATGGGCTCTTAGAGGGCCTGGGCTTGAGTCCACGAGACTGCCTCAGAGGCCCTAGGGGACAGTGTGATCCCTGGGACACTGGAAAAGGGGTAACAGTGTCTTCTGGAGCTGACTTCAGAGTGGACAATAGCAGGCCTTTGCATCTTGGGAGGTTTTATAACTGGAGTTCGGGACTGCTTGCTACCTGTCACTTGCAGAAGCCCATGCATGAGTGAGACAGGAACTGAACCTTTAGAACTGCACCTTGTTTAGAGAGCCAGCCATCTGAGAGGACAGTGGTTAGCATCCTACATATCTGTCTACATCTCATCTCCAGTGACGGGGCCTATGGGGGAGCGGGAGGGGGAGGGGAGGGGAGGGGCAGGCAGTCAATCATCTCAGAACTGTTTATCTCCTCAGGAGGTCAGCAGGTTTCCGAGACTTATGGTGTCTGTGTGCCTCCTTTCAACCCTGGCCCTCTTCCTTCTCTCTGCATGTCTGGACTCGGGCACTCATGAATCACTGAGTCTAGTTAGAGCCTGCTCTAGGCATCCTTGTATTCCTCCAGGGCTCCTGGGTGGGGTTAACCCAGGATAAGCCATGGTAACACATGAGTGCTGATTCCTTCCTATGGTGTGGAGCAGCGGTGTGTCTTTACAAAGCAGAATATGAAGGTCTCCATCATATTGTTCTCAGATGTAGAGGTGATGCTGAGCAGGGAGTAGCCCTGTGGCTTCCTTCCTGCCTCCAAGCCACTTCCTTAAGCAACCCTGGCTTCCTCCAGCCTGGCTGTCCTCCCTCCACTATCTCCATGCCTTTGCCTGCCTGCCCGTTTCTGAGCCCCTCTAATATGCCAGTGCGTCATTTCCTTAATGACACACACCAGGGATGGGGGGGGGCAGTCAGCTGTGTCAAGGACGGAGGTACAGCCACACACTGTGGTCCTGGGCAATCTGAGGAGTGTTCCCTTTCATCTTTTAGGGACCTCAACTTAAATAAAGTGGGATTTCTGACTTCACCACAGAAAAGAGTTTCAGGGTGAGTCAGTGAGGAACCGAGTCTGAGTGTATTCAAACACATTTCAATACAGATTTCAGGCAGGAGGATTAGGAGAAAGTGCGGTGCTTGGGAAGAAAGATGGGTATGGACTTCTCAAAGAAGAGTCGGCCCTCCTAACCTATATAATACTCATGAAACACCATTTTGGTGGGGTTTGATGCTGCCACAGGGTCACTGAGGACTAAATAAGGTCACGGGGGTATCCTATGGGGCACTTAACAGGATTGCAATTGTTAAAATGGAACTCTAGCTGGAAGGGATGCAGCACAGGGCAGTCAGTATCTTTACTGTAAAAGTTAACAGTCTTTAAGATTCCCAGAGAGGAATGAGCTCCACCCAGGGTCACATACATTCAGGCCCCAAGCCTGCTTCCTGGCTCTGTTACCATTCTTCTTCGAGATGCCGCTATAGAAAAGAGCGTCGTCTCTGTGCTGGCCACACTCACAGCAGACACTGCTGCCTGAGGTGGAATTTGTTTTTTCTTTTTTTTGGCTTTACGAGACAGGGTTTCTCTGTGTAGCCCTGAATGTCCTGAAACTCACTCTGTAGACCAGGCTGGCCTCGAACTCACAGAGATCCACCTCAGCCACAACAGCAGGCTTGGACACAACTCAAAGGGAGGTACTGTAGTCAGGTCTTTCTCTCTCCTTGACCTCTGACCTAGCTTCCTTCCATAGAGAAAGCCACACTAGGACCAGGCTGCATGACAACAGTGTCTCCGTTTAATCCCCAGCCAGAGAGGGACATACCGGCATTATTTATTAAAATAACCTTTCACAGGACAAGGTTTTCCTGAGGATGTCATGGCTGCATGGCCTTTGACAAGAATATATGTAGAGAGAATGTGACAGGAACAGAGCTCTTGTCATCAGAAGTTGACAGATATCCACCATAACGACAGCTCCCCGCGGGCATCCGTCTCCTGGAGACAAAGAGCCGTGTTCTCTCTCCTTTGTGTTCCTGTCCCTAGAGTTTAGTAGCTACTCAGCAGATGAGGTAACATGAATCTGTGGCAGAGCCACCAGGATGGACTGCTGCATGACGCTATCCCTGGGGAATGTGAGCAGACACCCACTCACCAAATAGAAAACCACAGATCACAGTAACAATACCAAGACCAGTGAGTGTTTGGGGGTCACCCACAGGAATATGGGGTTACTTATAGGAGCAGGGACCACTCAAATGCAGCCACATCATCAAAACCCATCCCATTGTGGGTGATGACTCATAAAAGCTGGAGCCCTGGAGCTCTCTACACGACTTCCAGGCAGCTCCACAGGTCAGAGTCTCCTCCCCTAAGCCATTTTCAGTGCTTCTATAACTTTGGGGAAGTAGGAGACTTGTGCATCTGCTAAGTTTCAGGAACTTCCTGAGACCTTCCACTTGTTTGTTTCCTCAGTCCTCAGGAGCCTCCCTCCAGCATGGGATATCTCAGTTGAGAGGAAAGTGCTACATAACATGACATTCTGGGCAGCCTTCCATCAGGGAAGTGTTCTGCCTTCCCTAATTGACACCAAAAGGGGCACTGATTCAAAATACCACACAAGCCATTTCCCAACTGACAGCAAGACTTATTTTTCCAGTCAAGCATACCGTCTCAAGCATCATCTGAAGCAAGCTTTTTTATGCAAGCATCCTTCCATCCATGTTGATTGACATCTGCTCTTCACTGGGCAGTCTGTTGTGTGCTGGAACACAGACATAGAGTGACCAGCCTCAACTCCAGACACAAGGAAGTGGTCAGATACATCTGTGCTCAAGGCTTGGTTGGTAAAGAACCTGATGCACAAACCTGAAGACCTGTGACCCCCCGGAATATACAATAGCAATCTGAGAGCGGTGCAGCCTTATAATCCTGGTGCTGGAGAAGTGGAGACAGCTGGGTCCCATGTGTTCACTGGTCAGCTAGTGGAGACAAGCCAGGTCCCAGTGAGAAATCTTGTCTGGAAAAATAAATGTGGGCAACTGGAAAATGATGCCTGATATTGACCTCTGTCTCCACATATACATGTACATATGTGCATCTACACACATGCACACAATATATATGTATGTGTTAGGGTCCATATAGCACTATTTATTTTTGTTTCTTGTGTGTTGAGATTCTTCAGTCAAACCCAGTATCTACTTCATGCTAGATAAGCCCCCCATCACCCAGTCACCTTGCCAGCCCCTGTCTGTCACTACCCTTGACCAATGGTCACCAAGAGCACACACTAGACAAGTTTGCAGGTATTTTTCAAGTACTTCTGTTTGTTAAGAAAGTGCCAAAGAATGGCACTGGCTGGTCCCTCATTACTCTGTTGACCCTCTCAACTGGACCCAGTTGGGTCAGCCCTTCAGCCTGCCAAGTGCTGAGAGGGTAAGACAGTCGCTGCATGCCTTCAACCATGCAAGATAAGTCTGTGGCCTCAATGGAAGCAGCATGTGTTGCTACCAGTTGGTTGGTCGTGTGCCTTCCTATCACAGCAAATCAGAGGATTGCCTCTGTCATCTGGACCCGTGATGAGCTTTTTATTTTTATTAGGAATGAGTGCAGTTAAGAAGCAGCTGAACATGCAGCTAATTACAGCCAGAGAGAACCGCTTAGCAGCAGGCATACTGAAATAGAGATTGTATTTGGCCCACACTCAGCACTAAGAAGTGGACAGTGCTAAATAACCCAGCCACCCAACATGCCAGCTACTTGGGGGAGCAGCTGCCGCCAGCTCCTCCTAGCAGGCTGACAGGGCTGCTGTTCTCCTGAAAGCCCTAGATCCAGTAGGAACCAGGCAGATGCAGCTCAGTGGCTGAGGCAGGCCTTCCTAATGCTTGCCTTCAGCATACTCTTGCCATTACAGAAGGGCTTTCTCAAAGATGTATAGACCACCGTGGCAGAGTGTGGAGAATGTCTGGCCCCTGTAGGCATACTAGGTTTCTCTTGCTGTGAAGTTTGATGGTTCTCTTGTCCACAGGTGCCTCCCAGTGAGCTGGGGGCATAGACAGGATTGGCAGTGCCATCACGCTGGTTCAGGGTACCCACCTAGTAAGCTGAGGTAGGCGGGGCACTGGTTCCAGTAGCAGGGTTGGGGATCCAAGCAGGAAGGGTCTCTCTATAGAGCTGGTGCAGGGCCTCCTGGTAGCTGAATATCCCAGACCTTTAGATAGCATTCAAATTTGGTTGTAAAATGAAAAGCATTTTTCTCACTCTCTAAATTCTGTACTGACTGTAGCCAAGAACGATGTGTCTGTGGGGTCATGGTTAAAGGGAGCTGTCAGAAAAAGAACTTGAAAAGCTCTGAAGTGGACCAAAGATGCAAATAAATGCAGCTCTCCGCAGGCACCTCTTTGGGTTGTCTGATTTCACAGAGGCAGCTCTTCGGGCCATCCTACACCTCTGTAAATTCTA